GGGCAATGCTGGCTGCTACGACGGTCCACACAAGCCAGCAAAGAGTGAGAGACAGAAGGAGTGGTTGCTTGGGCAGGTAGACTGCAGTGGCAAGTTTCAATGCGAAATCATGTAGAACAATCATAATGACAACGCACGTGAGCTGAAACAGTACACCAAGAGACGAATGAGATGACCTCGATAGACTCTGTGAAACTGAGCTGATCATCAAACCTTTAACAGTAGAATATGATTCAATCAAAGGCCCATCATTTATTTGCACGCCTTCGTAAAGAAAACTTCGAGTTCCAATTGAACACGAAGAATCAATCGAAATTGGATGAAGTTCAAAAGTTCGCCTTTGATATGAGATATAGTTGAAATAAACTTCATCGGTTACAAATGTCCCATCACCGATTTCGATAAGCCACGGAGCGTCGATAAATGTTGTATAAATATGTACACTGTTTCCGATGCGAGCACAGCATGCATGAAAATAAATGTTATAGAAGAGTGTGCGAACAAGAAGCCGAAGCCAAATAATTCTGTTTAGTGTTCATATTCGATTAAGAAACCACCATTGATAGTAGGTCAGAGAGAAGAGCTGCAGACGACATTCTTTCGCTATGGATGGAACCAAGAGGTATTGCCAAACGATGTAGGTAATTAGGTGACTTCATGAAATAAAAAGAATGGAAAAAAATATGGGCCACATAAACTTGTAAACTATGTAAATTGGAATCAACCTTTGGCAGATCAAGACAAGAATGCCAAGTGTTTCGATAACTAATGACGGTTTTAGATACGGAGACGAGTCATTCTCCTTCTGTGATTCATTTGCTTTCGTGTCATTATCATTGGTAAGCAACGATTCGAATACGGTGGCCAACTGATGTACAGATGGGTTGGATAGCAAAAGGCTAATTTCCATTCTGTTGTAAACTTCTGTACGAATAACGGAGAGAGCGCATATAGCTTCCACTGATGTGCCACCTAATTGACCGAATGAGTTGGTCACATCTACAATGTCTTGAGACAAATGAAAAGCATTGAAGAAGATAGTTTGTAGTTGTTCTTCTAACAATGCTGATGGCAATCTAATCTGACGGTGAACACGAGCAGGTTCGACACAAGGCAATCGCATTCGATCCAGTTTTCCACTTTGATTTAATGGCATTTGTTCTAATAAAATAAATCTTGATGGAATCATGTATGATGGCAGATGTTGACAACAATATTCACGTAATTGTTCCTCGTTCATATGACAATTTTGAACATAAGCAACCAAATGATCATCGCTCTCCTTGATGACGAGACAGGCAGATATCAAAGTCTCAAGCAAACATCGTTCAATCTCGCCTGGTTCAATACGCTGTCCATGTAGTTTGTTCTGATGATCTTTGCGGCCGATATAATGAAGTAAACCTCTATCGTCCATTCGAACAAGATCTCCTGTGCGATAGAATGAGTCCAAAAAAAGTTGCTCTTGTCAGATCTTCTCGATCATACTAGCCCGAAAATCGTTGAATGCCAGCAAGAAATAACTCGCCATCCATACCAGTCACTACTGGTTGATAGAACTCATCGAGTACTCGAACTTGCATTTTGGGAAACGGGATTTCGATAGGAATTAGACCCTGCTTGATCTCGTTCTTTATTATTCGATGGTAAATCGAAATGATTGCACATTCGACAGGTCCATACACATTGAAGAAGGAAGCGTTACTTGGATCGAGACGTTCAATTATCATGGAGAGAACTTTGGCCTGAATAGGTTCACCTAGCAATAAATTATGTCAGCAGAATCGCATATTCTTGTGAAAAAGAACAAAAGCAAGTTTTACTCAAACATACCACCGAAGCCAAACACTCGAATTCCATCCAAACGGGAAAGTTGTCGTATTTCTATGAGATAATGGCATAGAACAGACATGATTGATGGTACAACTGCAAAAAAGGTCATATTGTATCGTTGAATTGTTATTGACAGATATTGCAGATCCCATTGCCCTTCTGGATGAAGAAGAATCAGGGAGCTTCCAAGCACCAATGACCCCAGACATTCTTCGATATGTACATCAAATGAACATTGTACCATGCGAATTGCGACATCATGATCGCTTAGAATTGCAACATGTCTATAGAAGAACATACATGCCATAAAATTATTATGTGTGATTGGAACCTCAAAAAGATCAAAATGCAGAGTGATAATATTTGATATTCTAAGCATGACTCTCATTTAATAGTTTCGGTATACCAGTGGAACCACTCGTAAGGATTAGACTAAATCAAACTATTTTTTTGTATATAACTAAAACTTCTCATAAGCAGAAAGATCTTACTAAGCAAGATCATCGAGACTGTTGAAAGATAATAATCGATCTATGTCGATAATGGTTTGCCACAGTTCATCGTCGAATAAAAGAGCTGAAGAAAGATTCACAATGTAAACATCGAAGTCTTGTCAAGTTTGTCAATTGTCGCTAAATGAACAAGAACTAACTGAGCTCGCGTTTGCTTCACCAAACTAATGAGACGTTCCGATGGATCGTTAGGCAAATTCATGATGTAAGCAATTAAGATGTGGAAAGACGACTTTCGTCTGATTCAATGCTTGAATTAATGTCATTTCTTCCGGTAAAATCAGTGATAGCTCATAGATGAGTCGATCATTGATACAGTCGAACAACTGCTTTAAAATCAGAAGAAGTAGCCGAGCAATTTTGTCAATAGTCTTTGTTTGGAACAAATCGAACGATGCACACATTGTGACAGATAACCGATTGCTGATGATAATGTCATGTTGAATATGAAATGAAAAGTCAAACTTGGAAATAATCTCGTCTGAATCCTTATTGATTGGAAATGATAACGCTCGTAGAAAGACATCACTCAATTGAAATGAATCACGGTTGAGTTGAAATCGATTATATTGAAATTCGAACGAAAAATCCAGAAAAGCCGGCTTTGGAATGAGCGGATATTGTGCAAGAATGCGTTGCAGAAGAAAATAGGAGTGTTCCAGGTCATGTTTTCCCATGGTACGAACATCTTCAACAAGCGTAATGAAAGAATTTTCAAGATCAATTTGATATCTCAATGGAATGACATTGACAAATGAGCCAATGATGGAACTTAATTCGGGCTTGCTACGACTCTGAGTTTTCATACTGAAACACAAGTCACGCTGTCCATTTGTCAACTTGAACAGAAAGACATAGTAACAAGCCAGAACCAAATGTTCAAGCTCTGTACTAGTTGTCGAAGCGTAGGCTAGCATAGCTTGTGAAAGCTCATCGCCAAAGTCTAGTGAAACCGATATCGCGCGTCCTGGCCGGTACTCGCCGGCAACACGATATCGATTAAATAGCAACGGTATTTGCCGATCGAGAGCACATTCGTAAAGGGTGTCTAGCCAAAAGGCACTGGCAATAGTCATGGGCATATCCCGTTTGACGACGGCATCTAAATGAAACGAGAACATGAATATCGTAAGATAATAGAAGACAATAATCCTACAATCAATGTAACGTAAACCCGTGTCATTGTCTTTAATGAATTTATCACTTGTGTAGGCTTCATTGAGGCTTTGAAGAAAGATGTACCGAGATGGAATATCGCAGATGGCATGGTGAAAATTGAAAATGAGTACATTGCCTTCATAAAGCAAGTCTGTGGAAACAGTTTGTTTCTGATGAATAATATGAAATCGACAGACGAGACTATGAGATAGATCAAAATGATTCGGATTGCATCGTTCATCATGAATTATATTATTTAGTTCATTTTCAGTCTCAAATGAGCTTTCACCGACAATGAATAACTGTTGACACATATCGATCGGATCATTGATTTGCTGCATAAGTACGCCTTTCTCATCGACGAAAAGTACTGTTCGCATGACTCATGTTTCATAACGATCAGATTAAGAGATTGACGAAGTCGTTGAATCGATGGGCAAAAAGCATACTAATGTGATCATCAGGCCATATCTATTCTTGAGCGTATGAAGCACGAACTACAGAAAACGAAAAAGAATCATACAAGAGAAGTTTACCTGATCTCTATGATTCTGTAAATAACGAACCTCTCATATGCCATCAAAAGTCATTTCGATGGGAAGATTATATAACCGTTTCTCAGGTACTCATGTAAAAATAATTTGAATTTAACTATTTAAATCGCGTTAAAAATCCTTTTGTTAACGACATTTTCTCTGACAGAATATTAGAAATATCTCAATGATATAAATATTAGAAAATTCTTGTAATTTTTACCTAATTTTTTTAAATTCACTATCATATTTAATGGAACTTTTCTTAATTGGAAATCTCACATAACATACTGAAAGAGTTGTCATAGAAAATTGACAAAAATAATTTATCATCAATCATACCTGTGTGAATAATGCTAGGTAATCGATGAAACATCGGACGTTGTATTTCTTCCGTTTCTTCTGGAAGTATAATATATAGTTTCGCTATTGATGCCTTCATTTGATCTGTTCGATCGATGGACTTGCTAGCAAAGGGTTGAACAGAGAGAAATTCTACTCGACGAACTAATTTTTCTACAGTTATTTGATCAAATAAATCATTAGAGCAAGCCAATGAAAATGATATGGTATTAGGCTGAATCGATGGATCAAGAACAAATGTAAACATAAAATTAAACTTGGCCAAAGTATTTTTAAGTAGTATTGATACTGATTCGAGCTCGGTTTTATCAAAAAGTAATCGATTTAGTTTATGAAATTCATCTCTTTATCGATTTTCATTAACATATGAAATGCATAGATCACTTTGACCATTAGAAATTTTGAAGAGAAAAGCATAGAATGTGACACGACCAAGTTGAAATGGTGTTATTTGATGAGCGGAAGCATAGTCCAGAAAGGGACAAGAAAGATCTCCAAATGATCATTCAGCTACCGAGGTTAATATTGATCGTTTATGATATGATGAACGACATCGATCGACGGGAATTGTAAAATGTTTATTGATATCATATTCGACAAGTTATAATCTCCAGAATTCACGTGATAATGTCATATCGATTTCACGTTCATATAAAGAATAATCTATGTAGTTAAAAGCATCTTTCTCAATTGACAATGATCTATTCATATTGTAGACAATGGATAAATCGTCGAGAAATATTTGTTGAGACGATCGATCATATGGAATATGATGAAAAACAATAACTAAAACATCGTCTACATTAAGTAATTCTTCATTAGTACTATGTTTATTCATCATCTTTCGTCTAAGAACTTGACAATGAAATACGCGACCATTGGACACATCGAATAGATTTGGATTGATACCTATTTGATAAATCATCGAATGAAGATCTTCATCATTTTCAAATGTTTGAATAGGAGAGAAATGAAATGTTTCGTGACTATCCAAGACACGTTGAATAAAAATATCATCATCGGAATTGAGAAAAACAGATGTATGTAATACTTGCTGTTTTTCTAAAACCGATTGAAGAGCTCGACAAAGACGAACAAGTGAAAATGAATTAGTTACGACTCGAAATGCAATTAATTCATTATAGATGACCGCATTTTTACCAAAACGAACATATTCGTCGAGAGCGATACGTTCTTGTGCAAACAATGCTATGCCTAAAACAAAGAAAAAACTTCGCATGACTTGCAGCAAAACTCAGGAACAGGATCATTTACCTTCTTGTAAGTTTAAAGTAGACCACATGTATCGATTTTGTATTGTTTCATTCGATTGATATGTTAATAAACGTGCATGGCCTGATAGAGTTGGTTGATTTAGAAATAGACTGATATCGAGAGTATTTGATGATGAGAGTTCGGTTTGATATCGATTAAAAATTTGAATAAATTGAAGAGAATCTCCACCGATAGCATGAAAATTGGTAGTAGATGAACAATGATCAATATGACTTATAGTTTCACACCAAATTGATTCAATTTGATATTCTAATATTGATAAATGCATAGTTGTTGTTCCAATATCGAATAAATTCGAATCAAATTCAGGTGGTGGTAATTTTTTTGGATCAATTTTTCCATTCGTATTCAATGGAAGTTGATCAAATATAACAAATTTATTTCGGAATCATATTGGAGAAAAGATGTTTTTCACAATAAGCTTTAATTTGAGATACATCGATCATACTATGTGTCGATGAAGATGTAAGATAGGCTACCAGAAAACTCTGTTTGTTATGATCAATCATAATTACAATACAATTTTGAATAGAAACAGAAGATCCCATTAGGACACTTTCTATCATATATGCTTGAATGTGTTGATCACGAATTTGTATTTGAAAATTTCGACGATCTATAGATACATATTGATGATGTTCCTCTTGGGTGGCCCAGTCGTCTGCTTTCACGAAAAGATCATTGTCGTAGCGAACAAATATTTTTTTCAGTCCTTAATGGATCATTGAAATATATTTTAAAAAACATGGGGCCTGGATTTCAGATTATTTCATCGAATACTATTTTGTTCGTATTTCAAATTCATCAATCTTACCTCCAATCTAAATTTCACCTACTTGTCCAACATGTTTTATTGGTTGCTGTGTTTCATCACCAAGAACAATAAACTTTACTGTAGGTAACGGTGAACCAAGTGGAATAATTTCCGAGTCAGACAAATGTTGTGGATTGAGTACGTAAAAAGTGGTAACAATCAAACATTCGGTTGTATCATAGAGACAAGTAATGCAGTGTTCTCTGTCGAGATATTTAGCGAGCTTAGCCAAATGTTTAGGTTGTGGGGATTCACTTACAATAATACATTTGAGAATGACAATCAAGGGGGGAAAAGCTGATTCTGAGGGCATAGAATTATTGGAATCAGGCAGAATCAGTAGAATCACTCATGGTCAATAGAGTCACTGAAGCATCTCAATGATTCCGAGTAACTCCTAGTGACTCCACTCACTCTCAGTGATTCTAACTGGTTCCGCTGATTCAAACTCTTTCGAGTCAATTTTTATGCTGAACGCTTATCTGATATTGGGCTTTTGTTTATTAAGACGAAAGTCATAATAAGACACGGAGGAAACAACTGACTCCTTAGTATTGAAATCACTTGGAATCAACTCCTCTCGCCCCTCTTGATGACAATATAAGAATTATTCATCATTTACCAACGGTGCACAGAGTGCGTAATGAGACAAGTACATTACGTGGTAGTTGATCATTTAAATACGCCGTTAGCATACGGATTGTACTTGGACCTGCAATTATAGTAGTTACTTGATGTCGATGAATAGTTGAAATGATATATGACATATTCATGTGACTATTTGGTTTCAATAACACAACAGTCGCACCAAATAAAAGCCAATTAAGAATCTATATATTTAAAGAAGAATGTTTGTCTGTTCGCTATGCATTTGAAGACCGTACGAGCAAATGCTATGAAACTTTCCAGAAATGGTCTTTACAGCCAGGGGAAGGTCGACATGTATTTTTTTCCGAAAAAAACGAATCCTACGCATGCTACAGGCGATCTATGAAACTGACCAATAGGATTGCAGCATTCCAAAAAATTAAAATAGTTGATAGCGAAGGCGGTCGAAGGCCGTATGAGCGCTCATATACAACACTTCACATGTTCCATCTACCTATGCCGATCCTATGCTTGCTACAGGCAACCTAGGAAACTGACTAATAGGATTGCAGCATTCCAAAAAATTAAAATAATTGATAGCGAAGGCAGCCGAAGGCCGTCTGAACGCTCATCTATATACATAAAGAAATGTGTTTGTGTTTATTTTACTTACAACAATGACGTATGCATTTTTTCTTACGTACAAAGATGACGTCTTTGTTCTTTTTCATGACTCAGACATATGACGTATTAACGATATCTATATATACTATTTATACAATTTTACTCAATAATCAGCTGTATTACATTCTTGAATACATATGACTTCATTTCTTTGTCATTTGTTGTGTATGATGCCATGTATAACATTCCTCCTCATATAT